AACGTTGGGAAGCACTTCTCTCGATCCTATAGCATAACTCTACAGTCAACCTCCATTAGAAGTGGACCACTGAATCTAAAGTTGACCAAAAACTGATTCATAACACTTTTGGTACTAATGTTGGAGAGTGGTCCCTGGTCAAAAAAAGGTTGGGAACTGATATATACAATACACACTATTGGTGTGGCTGAATTTAAAAGGTTTGGGGAAGGCTGTTTCATCAGTGCTTGTGGACCATAGTAACTGCTCCCAAGTTCAAAAGCAACATAGAGGTCCAATATCAAATGTGAAGTACAAGGGATGATTGTCTCCATTGTGCCATGTGATCTTTCTCTTTTCAAGAATGGATGGGCATCATAAGCACTGATTCATGGAGGCAGTTCTTCCAATGTTTGTGTTCTTTGAGAACTGCACCATCTACTGGTTTCAAGTCCTCTGCACTTCTGCAAGAGGCCTTTCTTTGCATCACAAAAAATATTGGAAGACCCTGGAGTCCATTGTGAATTGGTAAATGGAAAAAACACCTCTCTCTTCCTCCCACAAAACTATAGAACAACTGTGGGATGAGATGCAAACAGGCACTCTGGCAAAAAAGAAGCTGGAATAGTCATAGCTGGAGACGCTGTTCATGCACATCCTTATTGGATTGTGCTTTCATGGATAATGAGAAAAAAGTGGTTTGCAGTGATCTAGCTACCAGGCCACCCAAAATTTGTGAATTATTGTAAAAGCAGGATCCTTACCATTAATATGGATAATTAAACATTTTTATTGTGTTTATGTATGCATTTGTATGCATATTAGTGAGAATTTGTGTTTCTGTTTTTGCATAATATATTTGTCTTTGCTACAAGGTAGATAGAAGCCCCCATTGGCACAGTGGGTTAAAGCACTGAGCTGCTGAATTTGCTGACCAAAAGGTCGTAGGTTCGAATTCGGGGAGCAGGATGAGCTCCCGCTGTTAGCCACAGCTTCTGACAACTTAGCAGATCAAAAACATGCAAATGTGATTAGATCAATAGATACCGCCCTGGTGGGAAGGTAATGGCGCTCCATGCAATCATGTCGGCCACATGACCTTGGAGGTGTCTATGGACAGCGCCGGCTCTATGGCTTAGAAATGGAGATGAGCAGCAACCCCCAGAGTCAGGGGAAAACTTTTACCTTTTACAAGGTAGATACAACACCTGTTCACTGTTCTACCAATCATCACTCAGAGGTTGGCTGACAGTGAGCGACAAAAACTGGCTACCAGTATTAAAAAAGCTCTAAAATTACAACAGCAAAAAAACAGAGGGAAAACAATCAGGGACATCTAATCACCTCTCAACAAAAGATTGCCCCAGGCACTGCCAGGCCATCAGATGCTAATCAAAGTGGTCAGTTGAAACATTCACACCTAGCTCCAACAGACAAGAGTCCTTTGTCCCACCCTGGTCATTCCACAGATATATAAACCCATTTTCCTAGTTCCAACAGACCTCACTACCTCTGAGGATGCTTGCCATAGATGCAGGCAAAACGTCAGGAGAGAATGCCTCTAGACCATGGCCATATAGCCCAAAAGAACCTACAACAACCCAGTGATTCCAGCCATGAAATAAAAATGTAATGTTCATTTGTGGGATCCAGTCCAACCCCCTGCCAAGAAGCAGGAATATTGCATTCAAATCACCCCTGACAAATGGCCATCCAGCCTCTGTTAAAAGCTTCCAAAGAAGGAGCCTCCAACACACTCCGGGGCAGAGAGTTCCACTGCTGAACGGCTCTCACAGTCAGGAAGTTCTTCCTCATGTTCAGATGGAATCTCCTCTCTTGTAGTTTGAAGCCATTGTTCCGCGTCCTAGTCTCCAAGGAAGCAGAAAACAAGCTTGCTCCCTCCTCCCTGTGGCTTCCTCTCACATATTTATACATGGCTATCATATCTCCTCTCAGCCTTCTCTTCTTCAGGCTAAACATGACCCAGCTCCTTAAGCTGCTCCTCATAGGGCTTGTTCTCCAGACCCTTGATCATTTTAGTCGCCCTCCTCTGGACACATTCCAAGCTTGTCAATATCTCTCTTCGAATTGTGGTGCCCAGAATTGGACACAATATTCCAGGTGTGGTCTAACCAAGGCGGAATAGAGGGGTGGCATTACTTCCTTAGATCTAGACACTATGCTCCTATTGATGCAGGCCAAAATCCCATTGGCTTTTTTTGCCGCCACATCACATTGTTGGCTCATGTTTAACTTGTTGTCCACGAGGACTCCAAGATCTGTGTGCGTCTGCTTTTACAGGACCCAGTGCCATATTAGGTATCATAGTGTTCATTGTGTACATGTTTCCATTCCTTTAATTTTATTTGCACTGAAAACACAGGTGTGTACAGATTGTTTATAGCCGCACAGTGCCTTCCGCATTTTATTGTTGTTACAATTGGCAATAGATTTAATTGGCATCAGACACTCAAGGCAGTGTAGATCCAAAATATTGTTCTAGTAGAGGAAACGTCAAGTAAGCAAAACCAAACTGGTACTTGTTGTTTGCAACACAACAAAATGGAAAAGTCTAAAATAGAGTTGAATATTATTATGATGCTTGAACAACTGAGTAGGTGGCATACTTATAAACGGCAAGTTTTGGGTTCTGTTTTTAAAGGCTATTTTTTTATTGTGTCAGAAGCGACTTGAAAAACTGCAAGTCTCTTCTGGTGTGAGATAATTGGCTGTCTGCAAAAACATTGCCCAGGAAACACCAGGATGTGTTGCAATCCTGTTGTAGGCTTCTCTCATGTCTCTGCGTGGGAAGTTGGAGCTGACAGACTGGAGCTCACTGCGCTCCCCAGATTCGAACTGCTGACCTTTTGGCACAAGGGTTGTGCCACTGCAACGTCTTAAAAGTTTTTGATATGTTGAAAGTGACTGTGGGCAAATTGATGACTTTTTAAAAATGACTTATGTGTGTGAACTATTACATATAGTTCACACGATAGGGAGCCGGATTTCCAAGTATTGATCTCCTGTTAAATCCCAGATTAATCCTTGTTATTGTGAAGATCTCCAAAGATAATTGTATAAATTGATTCTTCACAGGTAGTGATTTGGCAGAGCTCTGTGAGATTTCTGTGTGGATGCAGATGTTCCAATAAATCACACTTATTTTCTTGTTTAGTGTAGCGTTTTAGGTTGAATGGCTAGCTGGGTATGATGCATGTCCCACCTTGGTTTCCAAGGTTTGGAGCTCATGGTGCCTCACAACAAAATGATGTGCTCCAGATAACAATGAGGTCGAAAATAATTGAAAATGCAACAATTACAAAATAAGGACAGCATTGGGCTGTTGTGAGTTTAGCGGGATGTATGGCCATGTTCCAGGAGCATTCTCTCCTGACGTTTCGCCCACATCTATGGCAGGCATCCACAGAGGTTGATGGGTCTGTTGGAAACTAGGCAAGTGAGGTTTATATATCCGTAGAGTGTCCAAGGTGGGAGAAAGACCTTTTGTCTGCTTGAGGCAAGTGTGAATGTTGCAAATTAGTATTTGATTAGTATTTAATGGCCCTGCATCTTCAAAGCCTGGCTGGTTGCTGCCTGGGGGAATCCTTTGTTAGCTGGTCCTGAATTATTATTGTATGGAATTCCCCTGCTTTTTGAGTGTTGCTCTTTATTTACTGTCCTGATTTTAGAGTTTTTAATACTGGTAGCAAGATTTTGTTCATTTTCATGGTTTCCTCCTTTCTACTGAAATTGTCCACATGCTTCTGGATTTCAATGGCTCCTCTGTGTAGTCTGACACGGTAGTTGTTGACACGGCATATTATTTGACACAGTATATTATTTGAGAACACAGAAATGCTGGACCCCTCTATTAACTACCATGTTAGACTACACAGAGAAGCTATTGAAATCCACAAGAAGCCTGTGGACAATTTCATCAGAAAGAGGGAAGCCATTAAAACGATCAAAATCTGGCTGCCAGTATTAAAAAAACCCCTCTAAAATCAGGACAGCAAATAAATAGCAATACTCCAAAAAGCTGGGAAATTCCAGACAAGAATAAATCAAGACCAGCTAACATCTCCCAACAAAGGATCCCCCAGGCAGCAAGCAGCCAGGCTTTGAAACTGCAAGGCCATTAAATGCTAATCAAGGTGACCATTCGCAACATTCACATGCCTCAAGTAGACAAGAGTTCTTTCTTTCACCCTGGACATTGCACAGATACATAAACCCTGCCTGCCTAGTTTCCAACAGACCTGACAACCTTTGAGAATGCTTGTCATAGATGTGGGTAAAATGTCAGGAGAGAATGCTTCTGGAACATGGCAGTACAACCCAGAAAACTCACAACAACCCAGTGATTCTGGCCATGAAACCTTTCGACAACATCAAGGACAGCATGTATCCTTTCCCAGCTGCCAAATAATTCCCTAAAGCCTTCTAGAGCAAAAGACATTTTGCCTTGCAATGGAAGCACAATGCACAATGCAACTTCCCATGAAAAGGAGTTTTTGGCCTAAAGAGCAGCCACCAAAAAGTTACTTTCTTATGTCCTCACCAAATACTCTTTGAGAATTATAGGACTAACAATTGATAAAAGACTTTAAATTCTTTGAGGTTACTTTCCTGGCATGTAGTACCAGATATTAAGCCTCCAAACCACCTTGTAAAGGATTCCGATCTATATGGAGATAAATATTTTGTGGTCCCACAGACATTGGACTATAAATAGAATCAGGCCTAGAAAACTAATGCTGGGGATGATAGGAAGATTTTGTGAATCAAATTTGTCTTATCTAGTGATTCCCAACCTGTGAGAATCCAAATGCTGGACTAAGAGAATCGTTCCCTGTTAAGGATATTGCAAATTGAAGCCAAACTACACCCAAATTTTGAAAATCACTGTTCTAACCTGTGATTTAAATGCCACTTTTCTTTCTTTAAATGTTATTTGAAATAAAAAATTGTAAAAGATTTTTTAAAATATGAATTCCCCTTCTCTTTTGTCATTTCTTCAGGTGCTACCAGAGAAATCGGTTCTGCTCTGACCCGAATGTGCATGCGGCACAGAAGCATCGAGTCCAAGCTCAGGCAGTTTTCAAGGTGAGCCATCTGTGCCAATGCACGGACGGGAGTTTGGAAATCGCTCTTCATTAGCTTCTGGACTGAAGTCAAGAAGTAATTGGTACACAACCTTTTCATTCAGAGACCAGATGAAATTGTTTACTGGGGCCAGTTTCCAGCCGGCCTCTGCCTTTCTGTCGCTGGGAACACCCTTTTCTTTTCTCTCCCCAAACAAACCGGGCTTTGTGAAAGAAGGAGATTTTCACTGCCCATCCTGAGAAATTGGACTTGCTGCTCCGAGACTTTTTCCAAATTATACATCAGGAATTCCTGTCCCTTGTGTTACTGTAGCTCAGCAGTGGGTGAAGAATGCCAAAAGCCAAGGCGTCTAGTATTGAGAAATTGAGACTATTGTGACAATGGCTATTATTGGGTTGTTATGAGTTATCCTGGTTGAATGGCCATGTTCCAGAAGCATTCTCTCCTGACGTTTCGCCCACATCTATGGTAGGCATCCTCAGAGGTTGTGAGGTCTCCAGAATGCTTCTGGAACGTGGCCATACAGCCTGGAAGACTCACAACAATCCAGGGATTCTGGATATATAAAGTTCAAGTGTGAAAGGATATTACTTTAACGGGTTTGCTCATACGTATTATCTGCTGACCCTCTCTCATGAATGTGAGAATTTCTGTTGCATGTTGGTTGAGAAATTTGGGATAGTGAAGCCTTCTCAGTGTTGGGATTATGTTGCACTTTCTTTTTTTTTGTCGTGTCAGGAGCGACGTGAGAAATTGCAAGTCGCTTCTGGTGTGAAAGAATTGGCCGTCTGCAAGGACGTTGCCCAGGGGACACCTGGATGATTGGATGTTTTTATCATCCTTGTGGGAGGCTTCTCTAATGTCCCCGCATGAGGAGCTGGAGCTGATAGAGCGAGCTCATCCGCCTCTCCCCGGAGTCGAACCTGTGACCTGTCGGTCTTCAGTCCTGCCGGCACAGGGGTTTAACCCACTGCACCACCGTGGGCTCATAATATTGCACATAATCCTGGACCATTTTGTCTTGGAGCTGATGGAGATTTTAGTCTAAACTATCTGAGGAGTACCTAGTAGCTTGCTACCTGAGCTACAAACAAAGCCCACCATCTACACTGCTGTATAATGCAGTTTCATAATGCAGTTTAAATGCATTGAACTGTATTCTGTGGATCTACAATGCCATATAACGCAGTTCAATGCGGTTATATGGCAGTATAGTGTGGGCTCTTCATCTCGTGGTGCCATAGCGCAGTCTGTTCCGCACCTTCCAAGTTGCCCAGTCTTGTGGGTGCCCAGGGAGGAGTTTCTGATCTGGTATCAGCCATGGATTGGGGTTTCAGGTTTGAGCCTGCCACCTTTGGACTCTAGCTTGCTGTGATGTTTCTGCAATTATCTCTGTAGATCTTAGGAAGCTGTTTCTTGATTTAAGGCATTGCTTTGCTGGCTGATATCCAAACAGAGGGTGGGCCAGAGATGTCACTGCCTTTGTCCTTTAATTACTGGCTGCTACTTCCTGATGTACATGTCAGGTGGTGCAGTACCGGACAAACAGTATAATTTCTCCAGTGGTGTTGGATGTAGACATCCTGGAATATTAGAGCCACATCCACTGTTTTAATATGATGAGATGTTTTCCACGCTGAGCATGCATATTCAGCAGCAGAGTAGCAAAACACAAGGGCAGATGTCTTCACTGTATCTGGTTGTGATCCCCAGGTTGTGCCACAACCAGATACAGTGGTTGTGGCACAACCTGGGGATCACAACCTATAAAAGGCTAAATGGTTGCCAACATGGATGATGGAGTTTCAGAAAATTCAGTATCATTCTTATGGATAGATCCATATTGACTGTTTCCCTAAAAACTTGACTCCACTTTGTGTTTTTTCTCCACAAAACTAGTGCTTTAATTGACTGTCTAATCAACCCACTTCAAGAGCAGATGGAAGAGTGGAAAAAAGTGGCCAACCAGCTGGACAAAGACCATGCAAAAGGTAATTAATAATGGGGTGAAGATAGAGAGTGAACAGAGTCATTTGAATAAATACAATGCTGTTGTGTCTTTTTAAAAACAAAGTCTGTTCCCAAACAATTTTTCCTTCTTTTGTTAAATTTTTCTCAGAGATCTAATTTTTGGATAAATAATATTATTTAATGAAGTCTATACATGTAATAAAATTGAAAATATGTATGTGTATGTGTGGCTGGAATGCCCGCTTACACAGACAAGTTCCTGCCTCCACAGAGCTCTAACAAAACTTTCAAAATTTGATTGTAAATGACAGTTCCTAATTGGTTCTTTCATGAAAATCGCCAATAACGAAATAATAATGAAATTTTGAAAGTTTTGTTAGAGTTCTGAAATTTTCACCACCAGAACTTTAGCAAAACTGTAGAAGCAAAGCACCAGCACCCTCTAGTTTTGTAAGTACTTTACCTACATTTAGAACGATGGATTGCCTATGAATACTCTGTATTACATTTTTTCTTTTTATTGCTGAAATACTACTGTTTAACAAAGGTTGAGGCTAACTTAAGTTTTATACGGTTCAGGCCCAGCTTACTTGTCCGAACGCATCTGCCCCTACGTCCCACTTCGCAATTTAAGATCATCCGGGGAGGCCCTGCTCTCGCTCCCATCAACAGCGCAAATGCAGCTGGCGGGGACGAGGAGCAGGGCCTTCTCGGCTGTGGCCCCCCGTCTATGGAACACGCTCCCAAAGGAGCTAAGATCTGCTCCCTTGCTCCTGACCTTTAGAAAAAAAATTAAAATCATGGTTCTGGGACCAGGCCTTCGGACAATAGATGTATATGCAGCATTTAGTGGGACAAGGACTGGAACGGCGACTCGACGGATGAGATTGTTTTATGGTTTTAATAACTGTTTTGATATTTGATGATGTACTGTTTTTAATATGATTTATGTTTAAAGTATGGCTTTAATATTGTAGTTGTAAGTGATTGAATTTTTGCCATTACCTATGTGTAAACCGCTTTGAGTCCTCCTAGGAGTGAGAAAAGCGATATATAAATGCTGTAAATAAATAAATGTTTAACCACCCTCTGAAACCCAAATTTTAATATTCTGAATTTCAAATCCTCATTGAATGAAAATCCTAGTTAATTGAGCAGTAGCTAATGCTCGTGTTATTATAAAATTCACGGATAAGTGGAAGTTGGTTGGCATAATAATTCTTCTAGGAAAAAGGAGGGCTTGCAAGGTTAGAGTGTATTTTAACGCCCAATGTCAGGAAACCATCATTGTATTGGCATCAACAGGACAGGTATAGCCTGCCCTCTTTTACAAGACTAAGCTGATATGGTTATTTCATACCGAGGTCTCTTGCCTTGAGGTTACCGGATTGTAATTGTTCTATGATTTATATGTGTTTAAGCACTCCACCAAGTGGCGAGAGGGTGATACAATCAGAATTTATGGCCCTGAAAGGTTTCCGTGGCTAGCTAAACAGTATGACTATTTGGCCCTCTTTTGATGCATTTGGAGTAATAGTCTCCATAAAGTACTACTGATTTCCTAAGATGAAATGAAGTCATGATAAGACCTGTTCTTGATGTATTTTTAACTGCATTTTTATTTATCCATTTCATACTAAATTGAAAAAAAATATATCAAGACCCATTTCAGCTTATAATGCTCTGTTAATATAGTAAAAAAATAAACCGCAACAAAATGTTAAGCTGCTTGGAAACAATATTGTCTGCCTATTTGGCTCCTTTTAATGACTTCTGCTCCTAATGGCTTGTTTTCAAAAATGTACTTTTAATAATGAATGTGTTCTCCAGTTATCTGTTTTATTGGTTTTTGAGTATTTTGGCACCCTAAAAGCTAAGAGTTGTTACGCTGTAAGCTTCCAAATATTATTATTATTATTATTATTATTATTATTATTATTATTATTATTATTAACTTTATTTGTACCCCGCTAGCATCTCCCGCAGGACTCGATGCGGCTTACACAGGCCGAAGCCTCAAACACAATACAATAGAAACATAACACAATAATAAACAAGGCAAATCAAAACAATTAAGCAAAATAACAACAATGACTACATCAAGACACTATTAAAAACTGGTTCGGCCGGCGCAATGGGGTACAGGGTTAAAAGTGCTGAAATGGCAGGAGGAACGTAGGATTAAAGGTGCGGTGTGCAGTAACATCGGTTGTGCTACTAAAGTGCTTCTAGGACTTGGGATGGGGGATTCCTAATCTGAGAAGGCACATCGGAACAGGCAAGTTTTTAGGTTCTTTCTGAAAGCTGCTAAAGTAGGGGCCTGTCGAAGATCTTTTGGAAGGGCATTCCAGAGTTGGGGGGCCGCCACAGAGAGGGCCCTGTCCCGTGTCCCCACCAAGCGCGCTTGCGACATGGGTGGGATCACGAGCAGGGCCTCCCCAGATGACCGGAGCGAGCGTGTGGGTTCGTAGATGGAGATGCGGTCACGCAGGTAGGGTGGTCCCAAACCGTTCAGGGCTCCCCCCCTGCCTCCCCCCCCCCTGACCCCCCCCCCCCCCTTTTTGGTCACTCTGCTGGCTGTTGTATTGGATCACATGTCGGACCCTTCCCAAGTGTCTAGGACTGTGTGATGTATCAGCGAATAATGCGTGCAGATCCCAGTAGGGTGGCCTTTTGCAGCTGGCAGACTGTAATCTTGTCAGTGCCGATTGTGTTTATGAGCAGGCCAAGGTCTTTAGGCTCTGCACCCAGTGTGCCAATCACCACTGGGACCACATTATTATTATTATTATTATTATTATTATTATTATTATTATTATTTACCTGCAGTTCCCAGAAACCATCAGTCAGCATGGCTGCTAACCATGACAGCTGTGAAACTCTAGGAGTTGGAGTTCAAAAAGTAAATTTCCAAGGTTCTGATGTAGAGTGAGACCAGGGAAACTGAATTCCAAATCCCCACTCTGCAATCATTCTCAATGGTTAACCTTGGACCAAACACCTCTTGGCATGACCTATGTCATGGGGCTGTTCTGAATATTAAATGGAGGCACGGGAAGAGAAGAACAAGGCACAACGGAACCTATGTCATGGGGCTGTTCTGAATATTAAATGGAGGCACGGGAAGAGAAGAACAAGGCACAACGGATCCTGTTCCTTGAAGACGAGCTTCATCATACCTTAGATAACTGAACGTATTTGTAATTCTTTTTTCTCCTGATGTTATTAGGACAAAGCTAAAGCAGCACCTCCCCTCCCTCCTTCAGATGTGGTTAAAGAGGAGCAACCACCTCAGCCACCCCTCCCCACCCCACAA